CCCAGTTAATAAGGCAGATGAATTATAAGATACAAACTGTGCTGATATCAGTGCAAAAAGATGGCTCTAATTTTTCTCAGTCTTTCTGCCATATCTTAAATTAGAATATCATGGCCTGCAAAGCCAGCCTTCAGGCTTAATAAAGTGGCCTTGAATTTAGGCAGTCAGATGCAGTAAATCAGGGAGCAAGGTGGTTCAAATGACTTCAGGTTTATTGCATGCTAATGCTGTCTACAAAAATCTGAACTACTAATGGTCAAGGTAAATTGGTTGTATATAAGAGTCAATGGAACTGAAGGTGGACTGGGCTTAGACCTCTTGTGGGTGTGAAGGGACTTGAGACTAATGACGTGCTTGACCCCTCCCTCAGGCTCAGTCTAGTCATCTCCTACAATTAGGTCCATACTGAACTGGAATATCAAACTCATAGGAGAAAGTTGATGCAACATGAACTAACGGAATGCAACTGGATTGGGGCAGGACTGTAAACCTTATTCAAGTCCCATGTGCTGACATACACATTCCACACTCATATCCTGTTGCTTCTCCCTGGCAGAGCAGAGGGGTATGCCAAACCATTAGCTTGTCCTCTGAAGATTCTGACATATTCAGCCATTCAAACTTCTCCCAGAGTGGAAAGTGAAGAAGATCATGAAAGAGCCACATCCCTCCACTATCACCTTTTCTTCTCTCACAAGTTGAAGGTAGTCATTGCAACTTGGAGCCTCCTCTCTTTGGATAGGCTTTCTGATTTAGATTTAGATTTCCCAGGATTTTTTTCTAAATCATTCCAGTAGATTCTGTAAGTACATATAGTTCTCTGCTATAGAAAGAGGCCTCCAGCTCATGGTGAGAAGCAATAGTTATAAAGAGGAGTGTAGTGACTACACCGGCCCACATTATTCCTCATTCTGTAAGTCATTTGCACTCACAAAATAGGATTAGAGTCTCAAAAATAACAAGGCGTTATTGTTATAAACAGCACTGCAATCATTGGGAATTGTTGGGAAGAGAGAATGTGAATGTGTATATATAAAGTGTGTGTGTATGTATATGTGTATGCATGTGTGTGTGTGTGTATAATGGCAGGGTATAAGATGCAGGCAGGAACAACATACATTGGACAGCACAATCAAGTAGCTGGTATTGTGTGCATGAACATCTGCACAGTGTATGGGCTAGACCAGGGGTAGGCAACCTTGGCTCTTTTATGACTCGTGGACTTCAACTCCCAGAATTCCTGAATGACCTGGCATTGCATAACTTGTACTCTCCCAATCAAAGCGGCCTCTCAAGTTCCATGATTGCACTTCACTTTGTGCATGCAGGGGTCAGGAAGCACAATCAGCTGTAGAGCAGGAGCTTTGCTCTCCTTTACAATAGTGAAACTGCAGCAGCACCTCAATCGTCAGCTTCTTTGCTCTTGAAGACTGTTGACTCCCAAGCCTCTAAGCATGTATGAACTTGCTCTTCAGCTGGTTCTTCCTTTAAGTCGGCTGCATCACCCCTTGTTCTCTAATGGATCTATTGCCTTGGAGGCAGCTGATGAAGCAACTGCAGTTTGCTAATGCTTTTGCAAGAGCTGCAGGGTCACTTTGTGCTGTTTATTAAACCCTAAGATTTGAATTTAGATAAAACGGGTAGCCTTCCCAGCTAAATGACAATTGCAGCATTACAAGGCAACATGGGCGAGTCCAGGTGGGGCCCTAGCAATCCAACAGTTCCCTACCAAACTGATCCTCCGTTTCCATCTTAATCCTGTGTCATGGTTGGATCAAATCTCTTTCATTCCCAGAATACATACATTGCTTTGATGGCAGTTTCTGTCCCATTGTCCTTAGATCTGAGACAGCAAGCTAGTTTAGGAAGCCTGGGAAAAGCCACTAGCAGACTCTGTGTATTGTTTAGCAGAGAAACAGAAACAGCCAGAGGGTGGAGGAATCACGCCACTAATTTCTAGCACATGGTGTCTTAGGTAAAGTAACACCTTTACGGGGACTAATCGAGAAGCTACAGAATATACAGTAAACTTTGTAAAGTTCTTCTTCGCCTACAAATTATATTAAACAGAAGCACTCTGGACATGGGTGCTGGGGGAGTGAGGAGAAAAAAAACTCCAGTGTGAGCCATTTTATGTAGAAAATGTAGAATTAAATTTGTTTTTGCATCAGATTCATGAGATAGGCTTTTGGTAGGAAGAAGCCTGTGTGATATTAGTTAATGGGCCTCTTACGTTTAGACTCTAATGCTGAATCCATTTACTCTTTATTTATTACTTCTGTAGCAAAAGAAATTGTGTAAAATACTTCTGAGATTGAGTAAGGATGTTTTGACTGTTTTCAGTTCTATTTAGGACAGCATTTATTTTTAACTATTTTAATTGTACATTTCAGTATTATACTATAAACCACTCAGGGTCTATTGGAGCGGGCGGTCATAATATAAATAAATAAATAAATAAATAAATAAATAAAGAAAGAAAGAAAGAAAGAAAGAAAGAAAGAAAGAAAGAAAGAAAGAAAGAAAGAAAGAAAGAAAGAAAGAAAGAAAGCACACTACTAAAAGTTAGAAAATAGGGCAAATCAAGAACTCCCTCCAGTAAGAGCACAGCTTCAAACACAAAACAGTGATCTGTTGTGTTTCCAAAGCGTCGTTCGTTGTCTTGACACAACATTTCCCATCCAGTAGTAAAGAGATGTATCAGAACTGCTCACAGCTATAGCTTCTTGGGTCAAACACTGCTTGATCAACAAGGAATCTATTTTGCTCCACAATTGATAGAGTACTTTCAGAACTCCCAAGAAGCACAAAAGGACAGCAAGTTTGGGAAAACTGTTACCCTAAATGTACTTTGGTGTGATCCTTCTGGCTCTGCTTACATATTCATGAACAGCCAAAGATGGAGTATATAGTCAGAATAAAAACATAACCTCAGTAAAAAAAAACAACCTATAATATATCTGTGTCTTGTTATGAATGGCTAGCATGTCAAACTCAGAAAGTATAATTCTCTGCAGAAGTTAGAAGAGAAGCCCTTGTGTCTGTAGTACCAGACCTGGACTGGAAGGAAGATGCCATTGTTAGTGCTTCTGTTCCATTTACTTTTGACTTAGAAACACATGTGGACACACGCATATGTATTCATGCTGCCACCACAGTATAAATTCTCCACAGCATGTAGCAGCAAAGATTTCCTGTTGCAGGTTAAGAGACATGAAACTCATTCTTGTTTCTTAGGGCTGTAAATTCTTGTTTTCCTTTGGTTCTCAGGCCACAGCATTCAAAGTTTGCAGAAATTCTTCCTTTTAAAAATTTATGTTTGTCCTCTTTTCTCATAGCCAGTCAAAAAAAACCAGCAGTTTGAAATCTAGCAGAAAAATATTGCTGTGGAAACAACTGGACACACACGGATGTGTGGGCTCAACTGAGTTTTAGAACAGTAACGAAATATGCTGTACGTAAGGATGTAAGTTTAGATTCTAACATAGAGAAGAGTTATCAAAAGGGAGGAACTAATCATCAACAAATAGGCTTTGGAACAATAAGAAACAGTGAGCATCGAGAGTTTAATCACACGAAATTGACGGTTGCAGAAAGAAGTCTCTCTTCTTATTTTCTCCACCAACACAGTCCTATGGATCTGCAGGGATTTCCTGAACTGCTCGAAATGGACTGTGGAAAACTACAAGAAACTTTTCTTCAGAATTCACGTTTTAAGTCATAGGATTTAAAATAGGATAAAATTAAACATCTTGTAATATTGAATGGATCCGTGGATTTGGATGGCTTTGAATTGACATTTATTCCACCTTCATTTTCAGGGAGCTGGGAAGCTCTCGTTTGCTATGTTGGTAGTAGCAAGCAGGCATCTCTAAGGAGTTTGTTATCCTTGCTTCAAACAAAGCCCAGTTGAATCTGTTTTTATTCATGCTTTAAGCAAAACATTATTAAGTCAGTTTATAGATAATTAAAATAAAATAAAATGCACTAATAATAATACATAATAATAATACATCACCATCTGTCAATTGCAAAAGGCAGCCTTACTCAGAACAGTTTGCATTCTGCAACAATATCTTTAACACCATCGGGAATCGGTGTCTGCCTGCCCCAGGTCTTTGGAAGGGACTGGATAGGTGGATAAAAATGCCAAGCCCAGTCTGAACATCTGTCTGTGCAATGAACAATAATTGGTTAAATTTTTATGCCACCCAATTCCCAATGACTGTGAACACTACATAGATATGGTGTATTGTAAAAATCCCTTGATACATATGCAGTATACAGATGTCCTTGGAAAATAACTGGACAAGAATGCTGAGAATTCTTTTTCATAGATCTCATTCATTTGTCACGGGGAAAATATATCTGGTCGTTTGGAGTCAATAGTGACTTGGTGGCACATAATATCTCATTCATAGACCCATACATCCTCTCACATCCTAAAAGCAGAGTGAATGACAACTGAAGTTAAAGGCCAGCATCTAAATAATCTAGTGGGAAATTTGTTTGCTTTCCTCTTCATAATTCTGTTGGGCCTGATGTAATCAAGGCATATAGGCCAAAATGTGAACATTTTATAGTGTCAGACCAGAAAGACTGGCATGCACAGTCCAAGGATATGTATGTTGAAACATACTACACACCTATCTAGGTGAAAATGCAATTAATGGCCACAAATCAATACTACTTTTCAAACAGACCCAGTGATTTGAAACTTCAACATTTAGAATGCATAGGAGAACAAGATTCTGATTTTAGAGATAAAAGTTGTGGTTAGAAGAAGCCAAAATGTTATCTCAGCTATATCTTCACACAGTGGGTTTGCCTCTTTTCCAATGTACGTTTCTTTTCAACCAAGCTCCATACATGGAAAATTTTTACCAGCAAACAAACAGCACATGGGAAAGATTCACCTAATTTCCCATTGAGTAACTGCATCACGGGCCATCTCACTTCTAAGAGTAAAAGGTTTTTAGATCTTTCTCTTTCCTTTCCAGGTTCCTGGAACATAAACAACTTTGTGGATCGGTTTCATCTTGGAACACCTGTGGCTTCAACCCAGTTTATCACTAAGGATTACCATGACTAGCAATAGAAGCACCTGGAGTACAAGCACCATTGCTCTCAATGATTTATCTTGCTTTCTTCCCTATGGAGCAGACGAGCGCTCCAAATCTTTCTCTTCATTCAGCAAGCATGGGTTGGATTTTTGCATGACCAACAGGCTTTATAGAGCTGGCTATGATATTTCTTTTAGGATTCATTATACTTTTTGACTGGCATTAATACAATAGCATAGTCATCCCCAGCATTCTACCACACATATCACAGAAAATGTAGTGCATTCACTGCAGAGCTTGTATGGCCTTAAAATTAAATATGTATTCTAAATTCCTCTCATATTAGCTTGGAAGCAAAGTGACAATATAGCCACCAATCTATAATCGTACCTTAAACAATGAAACATTGCCCCTTACCAGCTCAGAATATTCTCCCCAAGGAATTTTTAACTATTGAAAGATCCATAGCCTACTCATGACCAACAACTACAACCAGCCTTTTGTTTTAGATAGTTAATTGACATCAAATACTCTTTTGTGGCACTTCCATTCATGATTTCCCTTCCCAGGCTACATATTCTTTGCAAGTACGCATCCATGTTTCACCCTTGAACTAATATCTGCCATTTATTGCAGCATTCAATTAAAAATAGCGTTTCACTCTTCCTTTCTCAAGTTTTTTTATTGCACAGCTGGAATATGGAATCTCACTGAAATTGGACATAAGCTTCATAAAATATTACAAAATATTGTAATATTTTTTTTCTGGTATCGGTATTTTTTCTTTGAAGGGAATACTGTCCCTGTATATGATTCTACAAACCCTCCAGGGTAGCATGCAACACAAATGGATAAATCAACAACAGGCAACTGCAAAGTTGGAAATGTGCCGATTAGAAATAACTTTAAAATAGAACATAGAACAGTAGAATTGGAAGGGACCTTGGAGGTCTTCTAATCCAGCCTCTTGCTCAAGCAGGAGACCCTATATCGTTCCAGATAAATGGCTGCCCAATCTCTTCTTAAAGACCTCCAGTAGTGGAACACCCACAACCTCTGGAGATAAGCTTTTCCACTGATTAATTGTTCTCACTATCAGGAAATTTCTCCTTAATTCTTGGCTGGATTTCTCTTTAACAAGCTTTCATCCATTACTTTTTGTCTTGGCCTCAAGTGCTTTGGAGAACAGGTTGACCCCCTCTTCTCTGTGACACCCCTCAAGGACTGGAAGACTGTTATCATGTCTCCCCTAAGCCTCTTCGTTAGACACGCCTAGTTCCCTCAAACATTTAATACTCTCATTTACTATGTTACAGTGCTTGGGCGAAATAAGTTATTCTATATAATTTCCAACTTGAAATAATCAAGTTACTGTGTTTTGATTACAGAAGCCCCCAAAATTGACTTTATTTATCAGATTGATATGCTTCCTAGTCAATGATATTATCACCTTAGAGGACACCCTTTGGCAAAATGCTTTGTGCCTGCGTTCCCACCACTAATAATAAATCTTTATTGATTAGCCCTTGGGCCATATCAAAGTGCAAAGTTCCAGCAACAAATCATTATCAAAGTCTGATAAAAGCAATTTAAAATAAAATTTGATAAAATACAGTTTACAATGGAACTAGAGTAAAATATGACTTAAGATGAAATTGGAGTAAAATACAGTCTAAAATGAAATTAAAATAGAGTACAGTAATTTAAAACATAGATAAAATATGATAAAATTATATCTTGGAGTCACCCTTGCAATCTACCCCAATCGGTCCCACATATGCAGTTCTCAACCGAACCATTTTGTTTAAATACTGTGCTGCGTTAAATGTTATTTTCAAGTTCTGGCCGCACATAAGGTAAGTTGTTTTGATATGGGGATCCCAATGAGTCATTTGTTTGGTATATAGACTGAGGTACCTGTCTCTCACCCTCTTGTACAGGCAACAATCAAATAGTATGTGAGCCAGGTCTTCTACCTCTGCCGCTCCGCAAATGTAGAGATGCTCATTGTAAGGTATAGAATGGAATCTCCCATATCTGACCATTGTGTCAAGCTGTTCGAATCTTGCTCGCGTAAATACCTCCCTAAGGTGTTTTGGCAGTTGTAACTTCAAATAGCTGTCTACTTGAAAAGTACGCTTGTATTTACTCAGCCATTTCAAGTTACCCACCTTAATAAGGATCGCTATATCATTGTTCACGCCACTAGATACTTTATCATCACTCCTGTTGTCCCACCTCCTCAGTTCTTTTACTTTCTTCCCTGTCACACACACACACACGCATGGGTATTCTTTTTTCTTTTTTTTTCATTTTTACTCTCCCAACCTATTATTGGACAATGAAATTAGCACTTTGCTTTCCTTTAAAAGGAATTGTGCATCTGCAAAGCAGCAGTTCCTTTTCCCAGAATGTTACTAAGAGAAGAAAGAAGGCTTAACATGAGTTTGGCCTTTTTATGTAAGTGTAAGAAAGTGTTAGAAAGCAGCTACTGAATGTGTGGACCCAACTGCATGATTCCTTCTCAAACAACACATTTATATTCAAATACATCCTAAAATGTTTCTACTTGGGAGAAGTAATTTCCAGTCTAGAATGGTCTTGGTTCATTCAATGAGAATAACTGATGCCAATCATTCTTAAGTTTCAGTGAAATCTGGCTATCACCCAAATTTTAAGGTGCATTGTGAGAAAAAGGAACAAAGCCGTCAACCAGTTTCATATATTCTTGACCCGTTCTATTCATAAATCACATGAGTGTCTATCACAGTTCCATTTCCAGTGTGATGTAAGCTTCATAAGAGCCAATTATATTCTTCTCCATGAGGCAGAAGAAAAAAGTTTGAAATAGAGAGGAAGCTTGTGTTAGGGGTGTAGCTTACCACAAGTAAAGAGGAAGAAGGTCCAAAACACATAACTCTACTTTAACTGTGTGAGTTAAAATTAGAAGCAAGAGGAAATGACAATTTAGCATGTCATGGGAGTCAGCTAAAGTGGGTTCTCTCCTTTTTTTATATTTATCATTGGCCCAGGGTGTAATTGGTGTTTCAGATTAAGGCCAAGGAACCAGTAGAAATGAAAGGTCACACTTTGTTGACATCCCAACATCAGATTGTAGTCATCCTTTCCTCTCTGTCTTTAATTCCTTGTGGTGAACATGTTTACTTTCAGGAGAAAAGGAGCAGAGAGTCGGATGTTTACCTCTCTAGGAAATTGTCGCCATAGTTTTTCCCCTCCTTTTTTTCTTTTAATTGAAATATAAGAGGAGAAAATGGTACGGAAACCACACTGGTGTTTATTTTATAGCTAGGTCTGAACTATCAGTTGAGTTCAAACTGAAAGTCTAGTTGGGTGGCAGGGTTTTATGTAGAAATACTAGAATTCTCAAATTATATTAGGAGTATTGACTCACATTTTGGTGTGGCCTCATCCAGAAAGACCAGAAGTGGAGACGGGAGAGGGCAGTGTTGTGGTATCTGAAGTCCACCAGAAGGCACCAAGCAATTAAAGTATTCCTTCAGAAAATGTAGAGAAGAACTAAATGTCCATGCCAAGTTCAGATTTGGCAAGTGTCGTTAACCTTCAAAGAACAAATCTTAGGTTTTCATCACATACCATGTTTGCAAAAGACAGTATCAGACTCTTTCGTTAATGTATAAATTCCATTTGTGGCTTATTTGTAATTTTTGAGGTTGCAACTTTATGGTTCCTTGCTTGGGAAAAATCTCCTTTCATTCAATTAGACTTACTCTTAGGTAAACCTCTGATGTGTTGTCATCAGCAAGTCTTCATTTTTTCTTTTCCTGGGATTTTTATCTACATCTGCTGTGTTTGTAATCCTATGTTAGCTCCCTAGACTTGCCATTTGCGCATGGGGCAAGCATAAGAATTCCTTCAATATTCTCCATAAATAAATTAGGTTTTATGCATTTATCTTACAATGTTTGCAAGCTATCCCAATCTGCAGATGTTAAGTGGTGATGTGCAGCAGAGCAAACATAAACAGACATCAAATTAATAACTACTCCAACATGGTTGCTGCTAAACAATCAACATGGATTAAAAGCTCAGATGAACAGGATTGTTCTGATAGCTTTACAAAATACCAAGAGGTGCTGAGGGGAGTCTGCATCTACTTCTGGGGGCAGTAAACAGAAAGAGTATGGGGCCTCACCAGAAAAACCTGCTACCTGATCCAGCTACTCCTAACCTCATCTGAAGGATTCTTAGAAGGCCTTCTTATGATATTACTAGATAGACATATACACTCCTGCTGCCCACACTGATGTAGCCCACACTATTTAGTCCATTTGTAGCTATGTAGGGATTCTAGATTGATTCCTCTTTTGACTCTGCCACTCTTTCTCCTACAATGGAGCTTCATATTTTCCATGACCAGCACCAGCATTTGATCTGAAAGCCTACTGGTGTAGTGAATTTAATCATGGTGTTGGCTTCCAATGCAGCCTAGCTAGCATATTCCGGACCTTCTGTATCTCCAAGTTCATGTCCAAAGCCTGCCCCTTAAGTAGTAGATGTTTCAGTCATACAGCACATCAAATTTTCCACTTGTTTATCCTTATATTATGCATGATTTCTTCTATTTTATTTATCCCATTAGAACGAAAACGTTCTGAATTAAAATTTAAACAATTAGTCCTTCATCGTGAAGTTTTTCAAGCCTGAATGTGTTTACTAGTAAAGCCTGCGTAGAAGAGGGAGTTTTTGTGTAGTAGCATATCACATGACTTATTGAGCTAAAACGGAGAGACCTGTAATCACATCCTATTTTGATTCTGAATACATTATGCCATTGTAGCAAGGCAAGGACAGGATTGAGAAATTGTGGTTAAAAGTAAAGCCAATCCTGTCTTATAAAATCAAGGAAGGGAGGGTTGACATTGCTTACAACTGGAACCAGCTGTTGAAAATCCTTCCTTTTGGTCACTCAGCATTGTGCTCATCTCCTTTCAGCCCATGAGTGAAACATCATAAGGTATCTTTAGATGCATCGGTTTTAATAATGAGGAAATAATATTTCTCTCCGAAGACAATGCTATCTCACTGCAAGCTTTAAGAAGTACATCTGTAATGTTGTGTTGGTCATTATTTTGGAGGTTTTGTGTGAGATCAGAGATACATTTTGGAATGTATCTGCCACTTCCTGTGACTGGACAAGCCACCTCTATGATCACCATTACTATAGCACCTGCTCTCTCAATTGCTACTACGTTTCCTGAGCTCCTTACATACCTGACATCTCCTGCCCCGTTAGCTTTGATACCTTCTAATTTGACCACTTCTGCCCAGGCTTTCAACACATTGGAGGGCAGTGCCCTTTTGTTGAGGGTGGAGAGATGTCCACATGGGTTGAATGGAGAAGCTGACAAACCAGAGAAATCCCGGTAGAGTCCCAAATTCAGGCTCTCTTTGTTTCTGCTTGGTGGACGTTTTCTCCACTGGGTTTTACAAGTTGAGAGGGTGTGGCAGAAAAACCAGAAGAAACGATCTTACAAGGAGTGGTGTTCTCACAAGACAAGATGCCATTTGATGGTGACTCAAATCAGATACAACCAAGATAGGAAAAGGTTTGGCAACTTGTTACGCCTGCATTGTTTTGTATGGATGGACATGTTGGAAGAATCCTCAGTCACGACCTACAG